CCATATATGTAGGTATGTGCATATGTATGTACATATAGGTTGTATGTGTGTATGGAAGCTGCACAAATTTGTACTTTGTCGACTTTATTCAACATTTCGATGTGGCAAATGAAATTACGCGCTGGAGGCACTTTTCCGCACAGCATTCACCAGAACTCTCACATTCTCATGTACAATTTGTTGTACGAGTATTACAAATCAAAAACAAAATAAAATAGCTGAACAGCAGCGACAGAGACCACATTCAACATGTTACCACCACAAGCGGTAAGCATTAAATATGCGGTGGATGTGGAGGTGGTGCGGCGCAATAAACCACCCAATCAGTGCAGCACTACATGATGAAAACAAGGCAACATGTCAGTGCAGAATGTTCCTACACCATTTGTGGCGTACATAACACACATATCTGTATACGCGCAAAAGCTAAGAGGATGGTTGTCCAAATGAATTTATCAACAACCCGTATGGAAGCTCTCAATACAATGCCTTACTCCGGTTAGCATCTGAATAAATTTCATGAATAGACCTTTTTTTTTTTTTTAACAACTAAGACAGAAGAACTGGTGAAACAAAGCATTTAATGTTTGGATAAGTTTGGTTTAGGTTAAGTTAGGTAAGGTTAGGATGGCTGCCATTAGGAGATGCGCACTTGGACCTTCTTCGCAATTAAAAATTAGTGAAGGACTCTGGAGTAGGAAAGCCCTTCGTGCTCACAACAAAGCTAAGCAAGCGGCTTATAAAACTTTATATATCTATACCTACTCAAAAGTTCATCTGCAGTGAAAAAGTGAGACCCAAGGCTTAAGCTTGCTTAAACTGGGAAGCTCAGTACAAGATTTTGATATGATTCAAATACATCATCGGTCATACATCTCCTGAAATTGCTCGGTTTGGAGTGATGTTGAGCCTAACTGAAGGGACTTCCTCAAGTAGCGAGATCTTTGATTTGTTTCCATTTAGGAGCTCTTAATATTTTTGCGTTATATTGCAAAGGTGTTCCACGGCCCTCGCTGAGTTGACTAAAAGACCATCAGCTGCGAAGCAGACTACAAGTGGTCAGTGAAGACCACTCCGATTGATACCTCCTCAATAGTGCCCCGTCTTACAACTTCATCGGTCATGCTGCTTACTGCGATATCGGAAATAGTGGAGTGACTTTGATGCGATCATGAGGCAGTAAAGAAACCAGCTTTCGATTTCCGCCTAGCCCAAATTTGAAGTTTACAAAGAGTTTTTTGCAGAAGACACACCTACCAACCTTCCCATTCAGATTTAAGTTCTGAACACATTGAAAACGACGAGCTACCGACCACAGCTTCCAATTTGTCATCTTTATAATCTAAGCGCTTTGTCGATGATTTCTTTGAACGCGGCAGCGACATCATGAATTTGTATGAGTTTGACATAAAAGAAGAGGAAGAACCTTATCTGTCGATAGAAAAATAGAAATAGATCTAATCTGGCTACAACCACAGCCGTCGCGTAGCCCGGTCGTCGCCAAAATAATTATCTACATAAGAGTACGTGTTAAAATAATTTGACAGCTGTGGTTTGTAGCTCGTCGTTTTCATTGTGTTCGGGCTATCACACTTCATCCAGTCCTCCTATGATGGGATGTGCGACGTGAGGGTTCCGGGTCCTTGCCGGGATGAACTTAGAGTGCAGATTTCAGGTGGTTCGGCGCAGTACTAGCCACCAATCTTCTCTGAAATAAGTATTCTGGGCAGTGCCATGTTGATTAAGCTAAGGTCGTTGTTCACACGTCGTGTCGTCGTTTATGAAACAAGAAATACATGTAGTTTACATTCATACTTAAGTACATGCGCCAATCAGAACATGACTACAGACTTAGGTTTGTGCGTTTTCTAACTGAGTCTAACTGGTCTTGTTCAAGGATGACCTCTATATTAACTCATTACTTGTAGGATTCATATGAAAGATACTTACGTACGCAACAAAATAAGCTCTGTTCTCCCACAGCCAGCCGGCAACAGTTCACGGATGTGGCAATGGAGCACTCGAAGTCAAATGAGCTGAGATAGCAGCAAGCAAAATTGCACATCCAAGCAGCAAGGTCTGCAAGGCTATTGTGATAGGATGCACGTAGAAATGACCAGCTTTAACTTTGAATCAAATGTCCAAAATGTCTAAACTCCCAAAGTCGTAGAAAAACTTCTACTTTCGTCTCAAACACAACTAGTTCACAAAACAAATAACTCTCTGAAGCACGGGGAAATTGCTACAAATGCTTTCCTTTTATAAAGACTAAAGACTGTGAGACCAAAAGATTATTCCTGCTATTATTAGCCTAATGTAAGTCCTTGGCTATGTTAGGACAGTGAAATAAACTATCGCTAAGGGAACTCAAATCATTTAATATTGCCAAAGTTCCCATCAACAAATTCAGGTTCATTTGACAAATCGACTGCACCCTAAGGCCAAATGACTAGCCTAAAGCACTGGGACTCCTTAAGCAGATAGAGTTTCTGCAGTGGCTGGCTATATTTCACCCTTACCGCAACTAATTAGGATATCCTATGCAACCGAGGTTACGAACTCATGGGTTAATTTCGTCGGAAAGTGCTTAACGGGGTCCAAAGATCTACTGAACTCAAACTGGCTCTAGATCCCCTGCCAGTGCAAAAATCGTTTGCAGGATCATTTTGCGCAAAAATTGTGCTACTTTGAACTAAAAAAAGAGTACCTAGCTTATATCTATGTACTTTCATGTAACCGGATGCAAAAGACGAAGAGCCACTCAGTCCCTTAAAGGTTCTGATTTAAGAGGGCGATCATATGCAACAAAAGATGTTCTAAAGTCATCAGAAGATGGTACTGGTACAAAACTTATCTGACGTCCTATCTATTGGAGCCAGAGGCAGGGAAGCAAAAGTACTACCGGACAGCAATGGGTACAATAAGGTGGATATAGGTGCCCTAAGTGTACCTACATCATTCCAAAGCGACCTCGGACGTTAAACTTGGGTGGTTCATCCAAGAGCCCTAGCTTTTAAAAGTGCGGTTAGAGGCCTCAAAAATGCGATAATCAGTAAGTAAATATGTGACACCGGACACTGCAGGCCCATATTTCATTAAAACTTAATAAAATATGCGTTCTTATTTCAAAGTTGGCACATCAGGTCTTTGCGGCCTCTTGGACTCAGGTGACCACTCTTAATAAGTGGGCATCCTTTGTCCAAGCTATGAAGAAATCGAGCTTAATGAGGTCAGAAGCACAAAATTTTACCTTGGACAATGAATATCGTGAATTTAGATCCAGCTACACACCAGATAGTACAGACCTACAGACGTGGTCTGACATATATATATATATAGAATTTTCGCTCTACAGTTATGCTGTGAATTTCGAACAACATCGGAAGACGCAGGCGTAGACCTCATGGCTAAGACCAATTTCGATGCAACAGATGAGTTAGCACTAACACTGAAAAAGAAGATTGCAAGGAACAAAACTCTATCAAAGGCTATGTCAGGATTAGCAATGGAGGTTAGACCCACCGTCTAATACCAAAATTTGAAGCGTTGGTAAGCTGTCATCATGGTGAGGTAAATTTGCAAATAACCAAGTGGTTTACAGATCACGGCTGCTTTACGGCTTAACCAAGACGTTTCAATCTAGAAGACACTGACACATGTGAAATGTGATACCTGCGGTGGAAGCATTACCGAAAACGCTGAGCCCGTATTCTACTATGTACAACAAGTTCGTCATAGAATGGAATTATTTGAGAAATGGCTTAAAAGCAGACCAAAAACCAGAAAATATTGCTGCAAATATAAAAATAATGAACACATCAAGAATAGCTGAACAAGACAGAAAAAATCGTGGTAAGTTTAACTAGTATCTTGATCCATATGGTCGATGGGGGGTAGTATGAAATTACTAAAAAACTGAATGCACTGAACAACAACGTGCATTTGAGCTTCGTGCTTAACGGTTATACCCGGGGTAAATACGATACTAGGTAGTAGGAGGGTCGAACTCCACTCGGACGGGGTATATAGGCTTTCGATGCTTGATCTTCGTGAAAAAAAAACAAAAACAAATAAAGATCACCTATTTACACAATAGACATCAAAACTCTTACTGCATCAACTAAAGCGCGCACAGAAAAAAACTAACTTGTCTGCAGATGAGAAATTGTTTCCCGTTGCGGAATTTTTAAAGAAGTGGTGAATACGATGATAACATCGTATGCGCCTGACCACGTACCAAAAAATGGGAAGCTTACTGTATCTATGACGGCGCAGACTATCTTCAGTGTTGCTCGAAATCAAATGAAGAGTGTCTGTGGGTGTTTTACGTGGGTATCTTGCGATACTGGCCTAACCCCACGGCACGGAAAGGCAAGCATTTAGGTGACAATTGGCAATTTGGTAGGGTTCGAGACCTAAGTATAAATCTACCGCACTTTGGATCCGGCACCCGTTTGCAGTGCAACTCCACATCGAGCCGAAAAGAAATCAACTCTACCCGCATTAGTACCGTACCCAATAAAAGTCCAGAGTAACTGCTCTTTCCTGCTAAAGCTCCGGTCAGACTTCGTGGCCTAAGCCACTACCGATTGAGTTACTATACTATACTGCACGTCTCCGCCTGCTAAAGGTTCAGGTGCAAAGTACCCAAGTTGGTCGCTGTCCAACACATTTAGAGGGTACTACAAAAGTTGACAAATTTCCAACCAAATATAATTTATTCTTCAAAAATTATAAACCGGTGGAACCTTAAGGTCGGCTGTTAATTTGGGTAAAATTCAATGGTTTCCAATGCCTACTTTTCAATAGTTACAAACAAGCATAGAGCGACTCCCATGACTCGTTTCAAGATTTTATTCGACTGTCGTCTATTTATTGCTTCCGTTCATATGTCCTTCTTTCGCGCCTCTTGTAAAATATCTCCACTCAGTTTCTCTTTGACAAACAAACAAACATTCCATCCTTTATTGTAAAGCGTGAGCACGCATGCGCAGACTTACCCACACTTTATGCAGTCAGGATCAGATCCTTGCATTTAATTTACGACATCCTTCTGACCATAGAAAACAGGAACATTTGTTTTGGTATGAAGCATGAAGGTGACAACGCCATCAGCAGCTACCACCAATATCAATCTTTGAGCAACCGTGCAAAGTGCGAGCGTGCAATAGAAGTCAACCAACAATAGGCGATCGACGATCATTGTAGCTCGTACATTCACCTGATGTTCGCGGACGATAACGATTTATGACATCTAACAACAATTCTGAAGCATCGTTTGACATTTGCGTGTTTTTCTTTTCCTTTCCAAAAACAATGCCACAAAGGCATACATACATAAATACACGAGGATAAGAGAAGAATGGAAAATGGAAAAGCCCACCAAATACTAGCAGGCTGGAAGCAAGTCTACATAGCTACATACTTACATACATATGCACATATGAGAGCGGCAGGAAATTTGATGCTTATCTTGCGTCGTTGCTACGGCCTTCGCTGCTGTTGCAGCAACACGCGATCAATACCTGTGCTATGTATGTATGTTTGTATTCAGTTGTCCGTATGAGTGCATGGGCCATAAAAAAGTGCGTTGCTCACTCCATACCATGATGGTTCAGGTGCGGCGTACGCAGGTGCGCGCACTCGTACGACTATTGGAGTTTTTCCTTTGTGTGAAGCACGTTGCTACTCACAAAAAACGTGCCACCGCTTCGACGACGTTATCTTCGAGGCAAACAACATTTTTATTGGTATTTTTTTCATGTTAAACATTTTTTTTTCTAGTATTAGCATGTAAAACATTCTTTGATATTCTATGAATTTCAGCCATAATAATTTGTTTCTTGCTTATTTACTAATTTTTTTTTTTTCAGTTGGAGACCTGCGGTTTTGGCGCGTTCACTTGACACCAATGTCTGACGAAGAAGTGGAACCTACTACTAACTACCCTTCCCGACAACTTGCTAGTCGTCCAGCCAGCTTGTCTGTTAGAGTCATGACCGTTTGCCCAGTCATTTGGCTGCCGTCTCTGAAGCTGTTCGGTGAGCAGGTTAGGCGACATTTTCGCCATTTATGTCGGTCAATTAATCGACGATCAAGTTGCTGTGGACCCCACACCTGCGTATGCCGTCTGGGTTTGCAAGCGCATAGCTACAAACATATATGTAGAAGTGGCTGCATATAGAAAAAGTTTGCATGTAAGCATACACAAACATTTATACATATGTATGTATTAGGGATGCCAATCCCGGGATCCCGGTGTTTTTGAGGTCCAGAAAATTTTGCTTGCATTAATCCCGGTTCGCGAAAAATTTGAAATATCGAATTGATAGTAAGAACTTATTTATAAATAATTTTGAAGAATGATTTTTGTAAAATGCCGTTTTGACTGCAATAAACAAAAAGCTTGAAATTGTACTTTTAAATTGCAGTCTGAGCCTTTTTAAAGAAAATTTAAATGAATTTTCTCATAGCATAGAAACAGAGAGTTTAAAGGAAGGGTTATATACAAAATTTTTTACATCAATTTACTCAAAACTTCCTCAAATCGAAAAACTTATAATTTTACAGATGTGGTGGTAGAAGGAGTTCAAATATTTTGTAATGGAGGAGATAGGGGTCATTATCTTCAAATGGCTTATGACTACCTTTTGACAGTTTGACCTAAAACTGTTGAGGCCGAAATATGTTTTTCATCAGAGGTTTCTATGTAAAAACTTCAGGTCAAGATTTGTAGACTGTAGTAGAAATGTGGCTGTGCTTCCAGAAATTGCCTATTCTCGTGTGTCCGTTAGCAGCCGAAGCATAAATATATGTTCCCAAACGGGTAGAATTGAGGCATAGCCATGAAGGTGGTATGTTGAGAGGTATACATCTTCATCGTCAATTTCTTGTATGTTGCTAACAACGTGTCTATGTACCCATATGCCCCAATGGCTGGCGCGAATGATTTGAGGACCTTGCTAAAGCTCTCTACTCAATAATAAGGGTATTCATCAAACCCTATAAATGCATTGTAAACCGTATAAACTTATAATTTTATAAACCTTATAAATGAACTGTCAAAATTCGTATGGAAACTCGTTTACACATTTCTGATAAATTTATCCAGCGATTTCACTGAATAAACTTGATAAACTGAACCCAATGCAACTCTGTCGCCACTCTAGCTATGTTTTCTTAGGCAATAATCGGGATCAGCATACAAATTTTGCACGCAAATTCAACAACGATATGATCCTGATAGAGATCTGGTTCAATTATTATCCCGTCTGTTTGTTTTGTTTCACTGATAATTCGCAAAGTTTGGTAGCCGTGATAAATGAATTCATACACAAACAGACATTCTGCAATTGTTTCTTATAACTTGCTTCAAATAAATAGCCTTTATGTTACATGCACATTTATTTAAATAGATATCTCGTAAATATAATTTTTTCCAATTTAGTGAGGTAGTTTCTATAATTTCTTTATCCCCGTGCTAGAAGTATAAAGTTAGTGACACTGCGCTTTATAACCAAAGAAAACACGACTATTGTCGAATGTGTAAACGAAAAGAGAGTGTGGGTCGTTCATGTAACAGAGTGCATAAACTTATAAGATTATCTGCTTGATAAAGTTATCGGTTTAGATGAATACCACTAATAATTGTGAGAAAAGTACATTCTATGCCGTAGCAATATCGACGAATCTTCTGATAGTTGAGGAAGTTACGAGATGTAGACGTTAAACAGAAGTTAAACAATACGTCGGTATTGATGGGTAGCTTTAGAGTGGTGTGAAGTACCTTCTTATACCACGGGGGTAGTAACCACAGGGAGTGATTTGTACGATTGTCGGAACGTAAGTCGACCATCCTCATTAACGACGTGTACAATATATTACACCCTGAGATAATAATTATCTCAGTACAAGATTTAATTTGCACATGGCTTTGATTTACCACTACTGATATTCCTTGATACATTCTCAAACAATAGCTCAGAGCATATAAATAATATGGACATTTGTTTGTTCTATTTTAATTATGTATCCTAAAGATTAGAAAGGATACTGAATAACTCAAAAATAGATCTAAACCCCAATTGAAGTGCCACAGCCAAAACTCCGTAGCATATTTTCAATGTATTTTCAGTTCAGATAGGGCGTTGTTGCACCACTTTCTGAGTCAGGGCCTCTTCGAACAAATTTCGAGAGTTCTTCAATAAAATTCTGAAAGGGGGCGTTCTTTTACCAAATTCTGAAATAAGGCGTTCTTGAAATGTTTTCTGAGGTAGGGCCTTTTCGAACTGGCTGCCGAGATAGATCAATCCGGTCAGTTAGTAAAATTTTTTTGTAATTTTGTGAAAAACATTCGAGTTCGGCTCCGTATTCGTCTTCGGTTGATCTACTTATGCGAATGTGACCTCTCTACGTATTGACCTTCGTATCCGTCTTCATATTCATATTCTTATTCGTATTTATGTTAACATGCGCCGGCGTATTTGTCTTCTTCGTCTTCTCCTTATTCCCTTTTGTATTCATCTTGCTGCTCGTCTTCACTTCGCGTTCACCTTCCACCCATTAGTATTAGTCTTCTTGCTCGTGCTCTTTTCCGTTTTCCCTAGCCTGAATGCCAAGCATTCGATAACGAAACGGAACCCCAAGTGTCGCCCCAAGTGCTTTGACAATCATTACCGCTAGTATATTTGGCACCTTCAACTTTGCTGGTTCTGGCGCTACCAGAAGTACTTGCGACCGTTTTACCTGACTGCGAAGATTTGATGAGCTTCTTATCTTCCGCCGACAGCGGAACACCCTGCCTTGCGGGTCACTTCTACGTTCTCCCTGTTATTGTTGCTATTTTTAAATCGCAATAAACCCGTCGCCCGCAATGGACTGACCGCTCTAGCTACAATTTTTAACAAACATGCATGGAACTTTTGCAAAGTAAGGGTAACAAATACCAAAATACCCTTACTTACTGAAGTAACTTTGAAGTAACAACAGAGAACGAAACCATTCGTTTAGTGATCCCCTAGTATACATACTTTGATGGACTTGGGCGAGCCTAAGATATTGACCAACAATTTTAATCTTGCACATAGATTCTTCTTAGAGCATAATGAACCATATTTTTGCTATTACCAATCAAAATTCTAAAAATGTGGATTTTCGGCCCACACTAATATGTATGTACATGAAGAAAAATATTTTACAGTGTGACAATCTCTCAAAAAACAGATTATTGTTTTTAATCTTGTATAGAGGTGAACAAACATATTTTGGATAGACTTGAATTAAAACATATGTGCATTAGACTGCATCACCAAAAAAAGTTGCGGTTTTTCCGCCGGGATTTCAAAATTTATTATATTTTAAGACGTCCACCAAAATATTTCGGAAAAATATTAAGATTTTAGCTGGACCGATTTGAAAATACCTCCAAAAATGAAGTTTTTTATAAATAAAAATAGTTTCTTAAAAAACTTTTTGAAAAAAGTCCCCTCAGATGACAAATTAGATTAAGCTTAAAAAATCTGCATAAAAATATTTGAAAATCTTTTCAACGGAATCGTAAGAATGAGATTTTTGATGCTGTTTTTTTTGCTTTTTTTCAATGATTGGTTTACGAAAAACTTGAATAACTGGGTCATAATGTTCTGATTTAGACTTATGTGATCTGAGTAGAAAGGTATTTTCACACTGTTTTTATTTCTGGCCAAAAAAACGTCATTCGTGTCCCATCTTGTTTTTTCGAATACCAACACATCTTAATTCAACTTTGAATGATGTTCGTTCATCCTACCTTTCTCTTTCATACTTTGAATGAGTTTATTAGCAAAGAAATAAGAAGGGTGAGAAAATACCTTTCCAATGACACCTCTTAAGTCTAAATCGGAAGAGTTTAGGTTCAGTTATTCAAGTTTTTCCTATACCTTTGAAAAAAGTTAAAAAATAGCATCAAAAATCTCATCATTACGATTCCGTTCATTTTTTTTCGTTTTTTTTAATATTTTTATGCAAATATTTTAAGCTTAAACCGTTTTGTCATTTGAGGTGATTTTTTCAAAAAAAATCTTTAAAA